ATATCCATATCAGTGTAAGGCGCATGTCTTATCTCACTTGACGCATGATCGGTGCCTAATCGAAAATATTAAATTAAAAAGATGATTTTTTTTAAAACGCCAGCTGGGATCCGCTGACGTCCGTCGTCCTCTTGGTAAGTTCTTTCCTTCCATTTATTTTTAACTCTAATTTAGGGTTAGGATTGTATCAGCATGAGATTTTCCGGATTTTTTTTCTTTTTTGTGTGGGATTAAGACTGCGTAGATCCGTGGATTTTTTAGGTTTTGGTGTAATTTCTTTTTGGGATTTTTCTTTTTTATTCTGGTTCATTATTGATAATGGGAAATGTTTTCATTCAACTTCTTTTTTCTCGTTTTGGTTTATCAAAATCAACGTTCTCGGGTTGTCTGTTATTTTTTCCAGGTTTTTTTTACGGATGAGAATATTAAGTTTTTCTCCTTCTCTTTCTTGTTGGGTTCATGAAAGAACATACACTTTGATTGTGATAAAAGGGGAATTTTATTTTTATTTTTAATATTCTTCCATATGCTTTGTCGAAAGAATCACGTTTTTTTGGTTTTCTGGTACTATTTTGCTATTGCTTTTGGTCCTTTGGAGGTAAGATATATTGATTTTTCTTAGACGTTGTTTCATTGATGAACACATGCTTTGATATATTGAAGGGATTCTTTTAGTTATTTCCCTAGGAATATATATTTTTTAATTTCTTTTGGGGCTAAGGGTTGGGAGATTGATGGATTTTATTTTATTATTGGGATTTGAATTAATACATAAACATTTCATGTGGTAATTATTTTTTTGTGATTTTTCTTTTGTTGTTTAAATATTTTATGAAGGTTATGGTAAGCAGGGCAATTGGCATATGTTTCTCGAAGACATTGGTGCTCATGGATATGTGCCATGGCGGTCAAGTGACAAGATCTTGGATGGTGAGGCCTGCCGTCAGTATGTTTCTCGTGGAGATTGGAAATATAGTCGAAGCAGCAGTAGAGACAACAGCAAAGGGTGTTACAGCATAAGAGACTGGAGAGGTCATTCTTGGGAAACCAGCAATGGGTCCTCAAACACTCCTGGGAGGCCTCATGATGTGAATAATGAACAGAGGTCTTTGGATGATATGTTAACATACCCTTCTCGTAGTAACTCCGACTTTGTAAACTTATGGAATCGCCATAAAAAAGATCAACATGATAATAGAACATCTGGTGTCAATGGGTTAGGCACAGGACAAAGATGTGAGAGATTGAACTTCGTGGGCTCGGTGGATTGGAAGCCTCTTAAGTAGAGCCGCTCTGGAAGAATGTCTTCATGGGGCTCCGGATTTAGCAATTCAAGTAGCTCAAAGAGCGTAGGAAGTGCAGATTCTGGGGAAGCAAAGCTTGAGTTACAACAGAAAACTTTGGCACCAGTTGAGTCGCCTTCTGGGGATGTAGCAGCTTGTGTCACATCTGCTCCACCTTTTGATGATACATCATCAAGGAAGAAGCCACGGCTTGGATGGGGTGAGGGTCTAGCAAAATATGAGAAAAAAAAGGATGAAGGCCCTGACACAAGCATTAATAGTGATGCGGCTGCAATCTATTTTGGTAATGCGTAACGGTTCTCTGAGTTCTAACTTGGTAGATAAGAGCCCTAGAGTTCTTGGATTTTCTGATTGTTCTTCTCCTGCAACTCCCTCTTCTGTTACTTGCAGTTCCTCACCAGGTATATCTTAGATTTTCTTATATGTTTATTCAGTGTTAAGCAGACACGTTTAAAACACGTATAATATCATAAAAAATAACATTGAAAGCCTTCCTATTGAACTAGATTGTTGTCTACCAGTGGTTTTAGGGAAAATAATCTTTGTGATGTTTTAATTATTCTCCTCATTTACCAGCTTTAGTTTGACAGTGATGTAACTTTTATATCAGCATGACCCTTTGTTTGCTCATTTGTTAACCATATTCACTTCTTGCCCCTTTCTGCCATTCCTTAATATCTTGAATATGATAGGTCGGATGGTCTGATATCATTCATTATGGTACTGTAGTCCAACATGACCATATAAATTGATGATTAGAACTTTCATAGAACTCTGCATTCTTAAAATACTTTTTGCCCTGCTCTTTTTTTACTGGCTTTAGTTTTGAGAGTTATGTGATTCTTGTCACGACCATGACCATTCACTGGTTTCTTGTGCTTTAAGAACTGTTTATACACACATATGCATACATTCCCGATTCTCCACTTCCCTGCAAAGCTAAATCTATAATTTAGTCTGTCTTCATGAATATGGGGCGATTGCTCTTTTCCTTCTGTCAGTTATTTTAAAGGAGGGAAACTGTTAAATATTTGGCAAAACTTGTTCTCTGCTAAGAATTTTACCTATATGTAAGGAATGTGTTGTAAAGTAACTTTGTTTTCTGCATTTGGGACTGCTTCATTGTTGACTCACTTATTCTTAAGTTGTCTTCCAGCTTCAGAATCCTGTTTAAAACAGGATACTAACCCTTCTCCCTGTATCCTTCTCCTTGCATTATGATTGTGTAATGTGTTGTGCTTGCTCATTGATTGCCAGTGTGTTCCTTGTTGTTGCAGGCATGGAAGAGAAATCATCTGGTAAAGCTACAAATATTGATAATGAAATCAATAATGCATGCGGTTCTCCAAGTTTTGGGTCTCAGAATCAGCTAGAAGGCCCTCTTTCAATCTAGAGAATTTGGATATCAATTCGATTATTAATATGGTCTCTTCACTTATTGATTTACTTCAGCCTGATGATCCTAGTACAATGGATTCTAATTTTCTTCGGTCTACTGCTATAAATAAATTGCTATTATGGAAAGGTGACATTTTGAAAACATTGGAGATGACTGAATCTGAAATTGATTATCTGGAAAATAAACTTAAGTCTTTGAAAGTCAACAGTAGAAGTAGAAACCGATTACCATCAACAGCCAGTTCTCTTCCTGTTCAGGTAAATGGAAAATCTTGCGAGAAACAGGAGGCTGCATCCAGTATGATCTCTCAGCCCGCTCCATTGAAAATGGATCCTTCTGCTGATGTTCTTGAAGAGAAGCAGCACCTCTGTAATGGTGTCCTGGAAGATGTTAGTGTAGACAAGAAGGATGGGGTTAGTCCTGGAACAGCTACATCTGATTTTATGGCATCATCATCTTTGGATAAAACAGTTCCTCTTGGTGATATTGTGAAGGTTCATGATTGTTCTGGTAATGCTGGCTTTGCTCAATTGGGAACAATGGAAGAGATGACTTTAGCTACTGATTCTTTTAATGAAGAAGGGGCTGCAGTCATTCCCGGGGAAGGCAGTGTACTTGTAAAGATTGATACTGACGCACATGCTTCAGAATCTTCTAACTCTGATACTGGTGATGAAAATATGACACATGATGTAATATTGAGGACTAATAAGGAATTGGCAAACAGTGCTTGTCTTGTGTTTGAGAAATTATTGCCAAAAGATCAGTATGGCATTGAGATTTCTGAATTTTCGAATGCATCATTGTGGCAAATGAATCCATCAATCAGGGAAAAATTTGCAATGCGGAAGTGCCACTTAGAATTTAAGGAGAGAGTTTTGACATATAAGTTTGAAGCCTTTCGGCATGCTTGGAAGGAATATATGCTTTCACCCTCTAGAAAATACCGTGCAAAGTCTTAGAAGAAGTATGAACTAAGTTCACGTTCAACATATGGTGGTTACCAAAAGCATCGGTCCTCCATTCTTTAATTGTTTGAGCTTCCTGCTTCAGAATTGTTTATGCATTGCTATTTCTGATATGATTTTGCATATGGTTGATTTTCTATTACTTTAATTTAAGTACATTTAGCACTTCTTTTTTGTTTCATCTTGCCTTTCTATATTTTGAACTTTGATCATTCGTTTACTTGAATGCATTCAAGGTAAAGTGTTTTAAGGATTAGTTCTTATACAGTAACTGTCTCATATCATTAATTTAATCTTGAGTTTTTAATGAAATGCAATTATCATGGAAATGTTGCTGAAGGTAAATAGTTCATTGCCCATCGGTGAAACTCATTGCATATATTGTTAATGTTCAATTATGATTCTTGGAAAATTTGTTATTTTGGTATTCTAGAGAGTCTGGTGTTGCTGAAAATAGTTCATTGTGGTGCACCATTCTCAATATGCCTCATGCATTAGATATGAGCTGGTAGTACTAATTGCTTGACAAGACTACTTCGGTTGAAAAGCTTGTTGTTGAATCCTACTTTGGAAGATTTCATTATCATATCTGATTTGTCAGAATTTTATGCTGCTGCAAAAAATGGGATACGATGGTTGCCGTGATTTTTTGTTTTGCCCCCATATGTGTGCATTTTTCGTCACCTTTTACTTCTATTTCCCTTAATTAGTGCTGCTGCTGTGTACTTATAAATTTATATTTTCTGCTTTTGCTTTATGTTCTTTAAGAATATTCAAATATTTATCAGTAGTGCTACATATTATTAATGGATTACTTTTTGGGTTTGTTTCTTCAGCTGGTAATCTGATATTAGAACCTAGTGCTGAGATGATAAATTTTGCCAGCAAACTGCTTTTAGATCCCCATGTCAAGCGTTACAGGAATGCATTGAAGATGCCAGCATTGATTTTGGACAAGAAAGAACAATTGTCAAGGTTTATTTCTTGTAATTGATTGGCTGAAGATCCATTTGCTGTCGAAAAGGAAAGAGCTTTGATCAATCCTTGGACATTGGAGGAGAAGGAAATTTTTATGGATAAGTTGGCTGCCTTTGGGAAGGACTTCAGAAAAATTGCCACCTTTCTGGACCATAAGACAACTGCTGACTGTGTTGAGTTCTATTACAAAAACCACAAGTCTAAATGTTTTGAGAAAACAAAGAAGAAGCTTGATTCAAGTAAGCAGGGGAAGTCCTCCGCGAATACCTAGTTGTTGACATTGGGGAAAAAGTGGAGCAAGGAATTCAATGCTGTGTCCATTGATGTTATTGGCGCAGCTTCTGTTATAGCTGCACAGGCCGATAGTGGCATGCAAAAGAATCAGACATCTTCTAGTAGGATCTTTCTGGGAGAACGTTACTCTAGAACATCTCGAGTTGATAGCATTGCTGATAGGTCAAGCAATTTTGATCTTATTGGGAATAATCGAGAAACTGCAGCTGCCGATGTTTTGGCAGGTATATGTGGTTCATTGCCTTCAGAAGCAATGAGTTCTTGTATCACTAGTTCTGCTGATCCAGGAGAGAGTTACCACCGTTACTGGAAGTGCCCCAAAGTTTATTCTCTGCTCAAAAGGCATTCAATACCTGATTTTTCTCAGAATGTTGATGAAGGTACTTGTTCAGATGAGAGTTGTGGAGACATGGATCCTACTGATTGGACTGATGAGGAAAAATCTGTCTTTATACAGGCTGTCTCATCTTATGGTAAAGATTTTGCAATGATCTCGCAATGTGTCCGAACAAGATCCAGGGATCAATGCAAGGTTTTCTTTAGCAAGGCTCGCAAATGCCTTGGGCTGGACTTGATACATCCAAGAAATAGAAACACGTGAACACCCATGAGTGATGATGCTAATGGTGGTGGGAGTTATATGGAAGATGCTTCTGTCCTTGAGCGCCCAGTTGTCTGCAGTGATAAGTTGGGGTCTAAATTGGAGGACTTTCCTTCCAATTTTGTCAGAATGAATATGGATGAATGTGATCCTATCAGCAAACCGGTTTTAAAAACTGAGCTGAACTTACCAGACGAAAATAATGGGAATCATGTTGCTGGTCAGGCAATTTCTGAGTGTGGTACTGATGATATGGATGTTGATAGCAATGCGAAGTCATTAAAGGTTCAGAAAAGTGTTGCTTCAGGGGACCTAAATTCTGGAAGAAATCAGGTTGTTGAACAGGGTGTGTCTGTTGCAGTATCAGCATCTATTGGGGTGGCAGCTCATCATTGTACTCCTATAGATGTGGCCGAGTTCAGGCCTGCTACTGGTTGTTCTAATGAGGGCTTTAGGAATGATTTCATGGCACGGGAAACTTCATTGTCCAAAAATGTTGTGGATGAACATGATTCAAAATGCAGAGCGTAGACTAGCAGTCAGTATATGTAGGCGAGATTCAAATAAAACCAGTGATGAATCTGCTGGTCAGAACTCTTCTTCAGGTTTTAGCTTCAATACCGAAGGTCATCTTCCCAACTTGGATTCTGCCGTTGAGCCTTCTTTTGGTAAAAATTCTTCTGCTGAAAGTTCTGCATTGCATGATTCCATTTTCCTTCGATGTGAAAAATTATGCAACCTAGATAAATTGTCATCATCAATTGATTATCAGGGGAATGAAGCCAAACCGGCTCACATATCCATCTTTGAAGATGAGCCAAATTGTCTATCTGGAAAGCCCTTGGTGAATCTTACTGAATCCTGCCAGATCCTAAGGGTTATCCCTTGCAAATTTCAACATTGAAAGAAATCAATAGTGATGCCAAAAGCCTTTCAACATCCAAAAGGGGGGTTGCCGGTCCGTATTTGGCTGAATATTGTTATCTTCAGAAGTGCAATAGCTCAAAATCAACTGCCGAGCTTCCACACTTGGTGCAGAACTTGGAACAAGCCAAGGATCGTCCAAAATCCCAGACTTCAAACATTTCAGGCATAGGAAAGCCTTGCGGGAATGGTAACGTCAAGCTTTTTGGTCAGATGTTAAATTCTAATTCCCAACATTTAAAACAGAACACAAAACCGTCGAATTTCAAGTCTACAGGTAATAATGTTGATGGAAACTCAAAGTTCAATCAAAGTAATAATCGTGTGCCTGAAGCTGTTGCAAAGAGAAGTTACGGTTTTTGGAATGGTAGCAGAATTCAAACTGGGTTGTCACCTTTGCCCGATTATGCTATTTTAATGGCAAAGTACCCTTCTGCATTTGTCAATTATCCGACATCCTCTTCTCAAATGGAGCAGCAGGCATTGCAGACTGTTGTCCACAATACTGACCGAACTTCGAATGGCCGTGATTGTACCAAGGTTAATCTTTTCGATCCTTAGCTAATTAATTTACATTAGTTGATAGTTTGTGTTATATAGATTTTGACATGTTCGTAAATTTGTGTTGTATTCTTTTTTATATAATGTCGTGTTTTGTGCTTAAGTTTTTTCCGTATCTAGGCTCAACTAATAATGTTGAGTTTGATTTGATTGTTAATGGTTTTTTAATTTTAGAAACTCATCTTTCTTGCACTCGCTCTTGTTGGATATTTGGTGTATTAAATTATAACCCGTGTAAAATACTAACAAATAAACCCAAAAAAGTACGGTTTTGGTCTCAACTTCATTCGGATTTGGGGTTCGGCACTTGTAGTTTTAAACTGGTCGAATTATGGTTTTGACTCTCCTACTATTGTCAACTTTCAATTCTTTGACCCGATATAACCGACAACGAAAATTTCAGAATAAAAATTGCTCCTATTAATTTATTTCCCTGGAAGATTGCACTTCCAGAGACCAAAACATACATTAGAAGGGTCTGGAACACAATTAAACACGAACGGCTTAACTTACAATTCGGGGAGGGGGGGGAGAAGTTGATTAATAAAACATGTCTGTTGATGAAGAAGGCCTTGCCGCCTCCAAAGAAATGGGATTCCATTCGACATCTTTCCCGCAACGGCCATTTGTAAAGGCAATTCCTTCTAACGGATTTGCTGCACCAACAGAAATAGATGATTCCTCGACTGCTATCGCTTTCAACCGATATCGCTCTGCCCTAGAGCCGATCATCTGTCCTAATATAGATGCACCAATGGTGAAAGCCATAGCTGTCTTGGGCATCAAGACAGATTTCCGGAGCATGGCTATGAATGGAACAGCTGCATGGACGGCCACGAACCAAGATGGTGAGAATTTTTTAGTGTGTTCCCTCCATATTCCTAACGGAACATTTGCTGCCATGCCTAACATTCCTATCACCAGCACTTTCGTAGGCAAGGACTGAGGGCGGAGGTTCTTTGCGAAAGCGCTTTGCGATAGTGCTGCCCGGGCTGCTACCACAGCAGGTGGGCACCTGAATTTCATCCCTGGAGGCGGTTTAAAAACCTTGACAACAAGTGGCAAAACACCGCTAACAGCCCTATATGACTTGGCTATCGGACAGTTACCGTTTTGCAGCCACTCATTGCCGAATGCCTCGTGATGGGAATTTCCTCCCTGAAACATCACAGCATAAAATGATGTCAATAAAGGTAAGTTAAAAAAAACAATAATATATGATCTTTCAGATATTAGATGATCATTCTCAGTTTAGAAACGTAGGTATGTAGTATGTACTCCAAAGTAATGCCACATTCTACAAACGAGGCTTGGTTACCTGTGAAGAAGATTCTTTCTTGGATGGTTTTGATTTTTCGTTCTGATTGTTCCACTTGTTAGAAAATGCATCAAAACTGAATGCCCCCCCAAGTCCAAAGGATGAGAGACTAATGGTGGCTGCCCTTGCAGCCAATGGATTGAACTTGGGTTGGGCTGTTTCCGGCTCTTCTTTCTTAGCATGCAAGGAAGTTCGTTGTGACAGCGGAACTACTCCATCCTGTCCATGGAAAAGCCTGAATGCCATGTCGAAATTGGGCCCATCTTCGAATATTGGATCTCTTGCTCCTCGTAACTGAGGCAGAGAAGCGAAAAGCTAATGAGAACTCCAATCAAGAACATGATTCAAGAAACATAAAGCTCATGATAGACACAAAATTCTAAATGATCCATGATTTTACCGGCATGGACGACGAGAAAGAAAAGTTTGTCGGCTCATTAATGTTTCTCAAAAATGGACAACTGAGGATTTCCATCTGAGAAGTTGCAGAATCTTCGTGTATGCTTCTGAAGGGAAAATCCATTTTAAAGGTAACCTGCACAGAAACATAAAAAACTATTAACAAAATCTAAGAGTGCAAAAAGAACAAAGATGCCTCATCGACGATAAAAAAAACACAAATAACAAGTTAACAATACACATAAAAGCGATCGAACTCTCAAGCAAATCGATAGCTACTGGTAATAATCCCGAAATAACTATACATTACAAAAACAATTAGGTTATAGGCTTATATATGCCATAAGAACACATAGATAAAGCTTAGATCCCCAATGATTACATCTATTAGCATCAAAAGAACCATACATGTATGAATAGATTAAGATTGCATACGAAAACCGAATAACAAATCAATATTAATTTTATTACAATGTGAAACCAAGCATGTTTGATCAAATTAAAGCTGTCCAATCCAGAGCAAAATGAATGAGTTTAAGCTTTTAATAGATAAAAATGTCAAAAACGCTAACAAGTTCAAAACCTTGACTTAATCAAGCACATGCTGCTCTCAACCTGGTATTGGGATAGCCTACTATCTTACCTCCCCTTACCCCATATATATGGGAAAAAGGGACAGCCATAATAATTCGTGAATGAATGTAAAGGCATTGCGAATCACTGTAACAAATTGATACTCCCTCAGTCCCATAATTTGTGTCTTGTTTCGGAAGATATATTTGATCAAAAGAAACAATAAAATTATCCTTAAAAGATTATTGATAGATGTTTTAATGTGTGTAAAAGAATAAGATATACAAGGGTAAAATCAAAATATAAATGTTGTTAGTTTGTTGACTTTTCCAATAAAATTTTTTGAACGAGATAATTTTAAAAATTAAAATAGACATTTTTAGTGGACAGGGAGGGAGTATGAGTCATCTTAAACTAAAGCCAAAACAGTCAAAATGTGGGATGAAACTGAAGCTGCAGATTGACCAACTAGGCAATTACTCGTCCAAAGAACTCGTTTAATAACTAGTTAGGTTAAAAGAGGCATTACATGAATCAACTCATCTCAACAAAAACAACGAATTTCTTTTCAAAATAATATATACTCGGATGAATTCTCAGAAATTAATAAGAAGAAAAACATTGATTACATATCTTTCACAGAAAATGAAAATATACAGCTCACCCATCGAAGAACAAGAAATGATACACGATTGGAATCGATGAAAACAAACAAAAAGCATTACAAGCAACGAAGTTATTAAAATTCTATCACAAGAAAAAACTGAAATTAAATTTGTACCTTTTAGCAGGGAGCCCAGGATCAAGGAGAGCAAAAATAAAGAATGACTTTCAGAGAGAAATGAAAAGAATGGAGACAAATAAACGAATAGGAGGGCAAGAGAGTTGGGTGACAAAAGAAGAAGAAACATTCACGATAGTTTATAAAGACGAGGCCGTGGTCAGCACACGCCTATTGGGAAAGAGGGATTGGGTCAACTCTTGAGTGTGGCGGCTATTTTTTTAATCTTCAAAATTCAACAACGGCGTCTTTTAAAATCTTCATTATTTTTAAATTCTATTTTAGTTATGTTGCTCATTTACTACTTTTAAATTCGACCTGGTAATTTTGATCCGAATTTGATTATACAAATTAATTTAATCGATATAATACTCAATATTAACTTGAACATGATGATTAAATTTGATTCAAAACACGAACTATACTCAATCTAAAATTTAGTTGACTCAATATGGACTCATATTTGATTTGACCCGAATAAAAAATAATCCGAACATAAATTAATCCTAATCGAAAGTAACTCGAACCGAAAATAAATCAAGCCAAAACAACCCGAATTGAATCTAACTAGAACCGAAAAGCAACTCGAACGAGATTTAACCCGATCCAAAATTAATCTGAATCGAAAGCAATTTGAACCGAAAATCTATATATACTTGATTAGACTTATAACCAAATTAAGCCTAAATGATAAGATTAACATACAAGAAGATATATTTTTACAAGAATATATCAATAACTCTATATATACTCGATTAGACTCGTAACTAATTTAATCTGAATTGATCTGATCTAAAGGTTGACCTAAATAAAAAATCAATCGATTCGATATTAACCCGATCTGAAAATCAATTGATCCGATATTGAATCAACCATAAATCTAATCGATTTGATATTAACTTTATACAAAAATCAACCGATGTGATATTGATTTGAATCCAAAAATAACCTATCCCACAGTAACCCGACCAAAAAATTGACTCACCCGAAAATTGACTCGACATGCTACTTGACCCGACCCAATTTATTATACACCCGAACTAAATCCAAACCATACTTGATCCGACTCGAATAAAATAAAATTAAATATAATCTAAACCCGAAACGACCCGATCCAAACCTGATCCGAACATGCTGTTTACCACCTCTATTTTAAACCATGATAATACATGTATATTTTAACGAATTTTAAATTTAATTTTAGTCTTATTCAAAATGGAGGAGGAGGAGAAAAAAAAGAAACTACTCTTACTGAATGTAAAACTCAAAACTTAAGAAAATATGAGAGGACAAGGATTATACCATAACAGTAAAAGTAAATGTGGTATGACATTTTGCCCTTGATATAATCATTGATTAGATCATAATAGTTATACTAATCATTGAAATAATTTCTAAAAATAGTTCAAAATTTTAAAATTTTGTTTATTTATTTATTTTAGATATTTTATTTAAAAATAAAATTAAAATACTCAATTTAAATGATCAGGTATAATTTATTTATTTTAATTTATAAAAAAATATGTTATTTATTCGTAAAATAATATAAATTTTTTATATTTATATTACTGTATTTGACAAAGAGAAATTGCAGATCATCGTATTTATGAAAGTGATGTTCGGAGTAGAAATGATATAATGCACCAAGATTTAAGTGAAAATCTTCTAAAAAATGAAATATAGTGAAAACAGTCTCATGTCACGGTCTGAAAAATTGTAAAATACTTATAAATAAGGAAAATAAGACTTTGATCCTTCATATATTGAGTTCGACTCCTAACATCCGGAATTAGTCCGGAAAAAGAAACATATTATAAAGGGTAAATTATGCATTTAGTATATAAATTATCAATTTGGATATGTTTTAATACTCAAAATTTTAATTTTTTTAAAAATCATACACAATGTTTAGTTTTCATTTCATTTTAGTATCCGCCTTTAAAAACTTAATGTGTTTAGTACCTAAACTATCAGTTTTAGTATCTAAACTTTCAATTTTTACAAAACTTAATGTTAAATTTTGAACGAGTATTAAAATGAAACAAAAATTAAAGTTTTTAATGATGAGGAACTAAAATAAAACTAAAACTAAAACAGATCAAAACTAATAGTTAAAGTACCAAACATGTAATTTACCCATTAGAAACAGTGTAATTTAAACAGTACAAAAAAAAACATCCCACATTAATCATAAGCAATATACTTAAAACAAATCAATCATACAAATTTTCAGGCCATAAAAATTATGTCCAAAATTGTTGAACTATATTTTGATATAATAATTTATGGCAAAATATTTTTGGACTTAAATTGAATTTATTCAAAGTTTTTTTTTCAAAGTTTTAAAAAATAATTCAAAGTCCTTAAAAGTGGATTTGAGCACAAAATGATTTTCTGGACATGAAGTAATGATATTGTGCTTACAGTATCGATACCTCATTAACAATACCGATACTGTTCATATGGTACCGATACCAAAGATAAGGGAAGTATCGATACTACCAACATTGCTCAAATTCCAGAATGTAAAAATGGTATCGATACCCAAAGGAGTACCGATACTACTTTACATAGTAGTATCGATATCATAGGCATAGTATCGATACCATTAGGCCCGAACGGCTAGTAACGACTAGTTGATTTAAAAATAACAAAGGTAGTACCAATACCCTCTGTACTGGGTAGTTTTATTTTGCAGATAAAACATCCACAACGGCTCCAAATCACTCCCAACGGCTAGAAACAACCACAACTTCATTCAAACATATAAATACAAATTGAGGACACTTGAAGAAGGGTTAGAACACTTATCCAAGCATTCAAACACAAGAGAAAAGTTTTTCATTCCTATTTTACTTTCTCTTGTAAATATTTTGTTATTGTTAGCCTTAAATTTGTAAACACTCTACCTTATAGAGGTTTTATTTGTTTACTTCTTTTTACCTTTTGTAAAGGAGATTGATTTTAGTTTAGATAAGTGAAAAATTAGGGAGTGTAAAGGTTATCTCTTGATCCTAGAAAAAGAAAGAACAAACTAGTGAATTTGTTAGAAAATTCTTAGTGAGGAGCTAAGGTAGTGGAGGTAGACTTAGTTGAGAAGTTGAACCACTATAAATCGTTGTGTCAAATTTTCTATCTTTTATTTCTCCTTACTCCCTAAACCGTTTTTGCCAATTCACCCCTTTTATAATTTTTTCGGTTGATCAAATTGAGTCTCTTCTATCCTAACAAAAATATTCTAACAAATCAAACATTTAGAATATCAAAATATAAATATTATGCTCGTGTATGGATGATGATGCAGGCAAATAAACCCTTAACCATTCATATTCTAACTGTCTGGGTAAGATGTGTTTCTTAAAACACGGAATTAACCCCTTGTTGAAAATTAACATACGATAATCGACACGTAAAAAACCCGTTAAAAATAGAATACACAATTGATATGTAAAAGAATCATCAAGTAACAGGTTGTGGGAATAATATCTATTATACTTGTAAACACTTATTTTTGTCTAAGATTATTATGTTATATAGTATTATAGTATATAATATTATTTATTATATTAGTATATATATTATATTTATTATAGTATCATTATATTTATTTATTATTTTAGGTCCAAATTCGGTCCAACCAGGGAATCCAAAGGTAAAGTCCAAGTTCGAGAAGCCCAGCAATAAGCCCACCTATGCCAGTGGGCAAGCTATCAAGCCCAATAAAGGAAGCTCATCTTCCTGACCCAGTAGAGGGTTAGGGTCTTGTAAACCCTAAATTGACATAAGCACCGCACGAGGGATATCAAACGGCTGGTGGTGACACGCGTGGAGGCCATGCGCCAGCAAGGTCGCCAACTGACTGAGATTCTTGAAACAAACAGATCGAGTTGAAGCAAAACATAAGCAAAAAAGGGATAAATATTTCCCCTAATTTTTTAGCAATGAACGCCGAAAAATTCGCCACAGTCGAACGTGCAAATCGAGATTGCACAATCCTATTGCAATTAGAAGCAGTCCCATCGGGGGTTATATATATACATCGGGAAGCCATCGAAGAGGACACAGAGAGAAAAAAAAACCAAACAATATACAACATAAACCATGAAAACCACTGAAAAAACGAAGCAATACACACCGAAAAAAAACAAGCATCAAGCAAAGGAAAAAACATTTCGCATACTAAAAAAAACCCAAGACTCGACCTCGGTTTTTGCTTGAAGGAGAGAATAATCATCGGAGTTCGAAAAGTGGTTACCGGAAAAGGTAAAAATCAAAACTTTTAGTGTAGATCTACACCAATCGGGGGTTTCTCGATATTTTGAGGTTGGATTTAGTTTCGGGGTGTTGAGAAGAAGGTTTCGGGGTAATATTAGGTTTTTCGGACACCGATGGTGGTGACCGAAGCCGCGTCGGCGGCGGGTTTAGGCCTCGTCGGAGGATGGTTGGTTAGGAGAGGGGAAGGCTTGAGTTGAGAGAGTTTCTGTGTAATTACTAAATTCTTAAATTATTTTCACAATCCCTGAAGTTTTGATACGTAATTCATTTTGGTCACTTGTTGTAATTTTGCCCTTGAATTTTGAATTAATTATATTTAATCCATGTTTATATTTTTTCATATTTTATAATTTGACCCCTAACCTTTTTATTTTCTCCCTGCAGCTTTCATTTAGTATCAATTTGTCCCCCAAATTCTTTAATTCTTTTCCAATTTAATCCTTTTTAATATTTGTATTTTTTTCATGATCTTTTATTTTATTTGTTTAACATTAATTTCACTTCTTTTTAGGCAATTTTAAATTGATCAAAGGTAAGTAATTCATATCAAATTTTTAAATTTTAATTTTAATTTTAATTTTCGCAATTAAGACAACTTGGAAATCAAATTGGTATTGAAAGGGCAGTGCAATGGTGATCCTTCATTGACTGTAATCGACTCCCGAATCTGATTAATTTATGGTAAATTGTAGATTAGATAAATGGTAAGTTGAGGTGTCTGATCAACCTAATTTAAAATGATCGGTGGCGACTCTAACACATCAAATTAAGTCAGAACCCGATTCCGGGACTACCCGAAGAACGGTTACGACAATACTCTCGATTCTTCA